AACAACAACAACAACGCTGTTTGGCAGATCCTAAACTCCATTCTCTACTCAGGCACACACCTCACTGTCTGCCACATTTCACAGCTTGCTCTTGAGTGAACCTTCAGCTCTGGTGGTTCCAGGAGTGAGCTGGGAATGGTCCAGCATTCTCTAAACCTCAGCCCTCAACCGAGATTGACAACTGCACGCAACCTCTGTTCCCCCAGCATACTGTATGTACAGAAGTCATTATTTTCTCTACATAGCAGTACACTGTTATTGTTGTTGTTGTTGTTATTAAGTGCCCTCAAATTGACTACAACCTTATGAACTCTCTCTTCAGGGCTCAGAACCCTGTTCTATCCTGAGCCAATCTTGCTGTCTCTGACATACCTGCCCCCATTGCCACAGTCACTGTGTCAATTCACCTCATCCAGGATCTGTAATTTCTGAGCTGTCCCTCCATGCTTCCAAACATGATGTCCTTCTCCAAGGACTGGTCCCTCCCGGCAATATATGTGAGATGGCGTTTCTAAATCCTAGCTTCCAAAGAGTGGCCGGATTTCAACCTCTCTCGGATAGACTTGTTTGTTCTCTTGGCAGTCCATGGTATGTTCAATAATCTTCTCCAGGACCACAACTAAGAGACATCAGCTCTTCTGTCATCCTTATTCATTATCCAACTCTCTGATGCATAGCAAGTAATTGAGAAGACCACGTCCTAGACACACCTTAGTCTCTAGACTGACATCCTTGTTCTTTAACACTCTGGAGAGCTCCTTGACAGCAAAATTTCCCAATGCAACTGGCCTTTTGATTTTCTGATCGCTGGTGCCAAGAGTGTTGATATGGATCCAAACAAGATGAAATTATGAGAACCTTTGTTTTCTTGATGTTAAGATACAATTCATATTGCAATATACTAGTTTATCCTAATTTGAGTCCTTTCCCAAAGTCCCTAAGCAAGGAATGCACATCAGTTCCCCACAATGATGTACAATAATCACATGGCAAGGCCACTTGCTACATTTTTATTCACAGTGACAACGGAGCACCGGGTGATACTATTGCTTAATTTGCATTTGCAGTGAGAATATAATTCATCCATGTTGTTTTTGTTAAGTGTCAGGGCATTGTTATTTATCAATTCTGCTCTTTGAAATACAGAATTATTCTTCATTATCCTGGCTGCCTTGACAAGAGCGTGTAACTTCTGTATGAAACAGAGAATGTAAAATAGCACGTACATCTGCATTTTCCTTTTTAAACTGTATTAACGTATCTGGTTTATGTAAGTGATGTCACTGACCTTGTGAATCCAAAATGTTTCAGAATGATTGCTCATAGGATAAGGACAATCCAACCAATTTGTTTTTTAAATCATTGTCCACTTAAATACTCATGCGCATTAGCTCCGCAGTG